CCCAGCTGGGCATGCACGCACGCTGTCCGCCCGCCATGGAACTGACTGTCGGTACGCTGCTGCCGCTGCGTGCGGGCAGCGCGACCACAACTGGCCCTTGTCGGCCGTCCGGCGATTTCTTCCGGCAACTTTGACTTAAAACATCATAACCCATCATGACATGAATAAATAAACATAATTTGCTCGAAGGATCATAATTATAACTTAATCAAGTGAATAGCCGTTGCGTGCGCACCGTGCGTCGTCCACGACTTCAAGCAATTCCTTAGAACTTTTCCCGACAACAATAACTTAAAAAGACATAACATAACATATCGGGACTAACTACATGAAAATAGGTCGAATGACCGTGAACATAACTTGATGAGACGTAAATGGCCGCAGCTTGCGCTACGTGCGTAGCCGACGACTTTAACCAATCCTTCGACCAAACAACCATTTCCCTCGACCATAATAACATAAATGAACATGGTATATCTAACAATGACTAAAGGAATGAAATTTGTTCGGGAGTTGCCGAATAGAATCGAACATGGCTCGGCATGGTTTAAAATGGCTTAAACCGAGCTTAACATAGCTTTAACATGACTCGAATAACATGACTTCGACATAATAAACGTAGCATGATCATACTAACATTAAGAGAAGGTTAGGACGCGATTACCTCCTCAAATGCTCGAACAATTGTACAAACTTCCCGTGACCGAACCCTTGCGTGTGTGCGTGAAGAAATTCTCTTAATTTAGCTTAATTATCTAACTCTCGTGCTTAGTGTTTAGCTTAAGTAAAAGCTGAACTTTTTCACTCCACTTAACATATAAATAGCCGGAAGAATTTGGGTGAATTTGGTGAAAATTTGCATGAATTAACTTGGCCAATCATCTTGAGCCACTTGTCGTGCATATAAGGCCTTAGGTGGCTTGGTACTTGCTTAGTCACCTTGTACTTTGCTTAGTCATTCTTCAAGTAAAACTCCAAGATTCCACATGTCTTAAGTAATAATTAAAGCACGTGAAGCTCTTGCTCCCAAACTCACGACAATTTGGCTAAAGCACACACGAATTAAGCATAACTTGATCATGACTTAGGTTAGTTAAGCATGGTTGCTTAATGTGCTAAGGATGTGCAACATTGGACGTGATTTCCTTGGCAATTAACTAGAACTTAAATGTAAAATATGATCAATTAGCATGGACAATGGATCATTAAACATAATTTTATGGCAATGCGTAGCACATTGTGGATTAATGGTCGATTAGGCTCGAAAATTTTATCTTAGCATATAATCGAACACTTAGAAATTATTCCGAACATAAACGTGATTTCAAAAATTAATTCAAACGTTCTTGACTAGAATAATTAGTTCCGAATGATAATGATTGATAAAATAGATATTTCAGAACTAAACACGTAATTTACCTTAATAACATAATGGGCTATTACAATCTTCCCTCCTTAAAATATTCCCGTCCTCGGAAATACAAAAGGGAACATATATACATAGATTAGAAGAAATATACATCAAAACTTGAAATCAGGAAAACGAGCGTGAATATCAGCCTCCTGCTCCCAAGTGGCTCCGTGGCGATCCCACTGAATACGAACGAGGGGAACATCACGCTTCTGGAGCCGTCGAACCTGCCCGTCCAACACAGCTACCGGTCGCTCCTCGTAAGATAAATCTGGATGGATCTGAATATCGGAATGTTGAATGACATGATCTGGATCGCACACGTACTTGCGTAACATGGATACATGGAAAACATTATGAACACTGGACAATTCGGGAGGTAAGGCTAATCTATAAGCAACTTCGCCCACTCGTTCGAGATTTTTGAACGGGCCAATGAATCGAGGATGTAACTTTTCTCTCTTCCCGAATCGAATGATCCCTCAGAATGGACGAACTCTAAGGAAAGCTCGCTCCCCAACCTCGAACTGGATATCTCGTCGATGCTGATCGGCTGACGATTTCTGTCGACTCTGAGCTGTCTTGAGTCTCTGCCGGATCAACTCAACATGCTCTGCTGTTTCCTCGATCATCTTCGGACCGAGTACCCGACGCTCACCGACATCGTCCCAATAAAGAGGGGAACGACATTTACGACCGTAAAGTGCCTCGTAAGGAGCCATCTGAATAGAAGAATGATAACTGTTATTGTAAGCAAACTCAACGAATGGCAATAAAGACTCCCACTTAGCACCCCTATCAACTACCAAAGCTCGTAGCATATCCTCCAATGTATGAATGGTCCGCTCGGTCTGTCCGTCAGTCTCTGGATGGTAAGCCGAACTGAACTCTAGTCGCGTGCCCATTTCTGGTGCAAACTCTCCCAGAATCTACTGGTGAATCTGGGATCCTTTTCTGACACGATAGTAACAAGCACTCCATGGAGTCGAATGATTCCACGGGTATAAATCTCGGCTAACTTTTCCAAAGACATGTTCATCTATACTGGCAAGAAATGAACAACCTTAGTCAACCTGTCCACCACGACCCAAATAGAATCGTGATGTTCAGACGACTTTGGTAACCCTGTGACAAAATCCATCGTAACTTCCTCCCACTTCCACTTCAGAATCGACAGTGGTCGCAGAAGGCCTAAGGGACTCTTGTGTTCGGCTTTGACTTGCTGACAGGTTAAAAATTTCCTTACAAAGTCGGCTACGTCCTTCTTCATTCCTCGCCACCAGAACGACCTTTTCGAGTCGTGATACATCTTCGTGCTCCCTGGGTGGGCTAAATAAGGCTTGGTATGAGCTTTCGTCAATATCTCCTTCCGCAACGCCTCGACTTTTGGTACAACAATCCTGCCTCAAAATTCCAAGGCTCCATCTGTGCCTCGGTAAAAACCCTCAACGCCTCCAGTGCGGACTTTGGCATCAATAGCACGAACAAATTCATCAGAAGCCTGCTCCTGCCGGATCCTTTCCCTCAACGTCGGCTGAACTGCATAGCACTGACACTCCCCGTAATCGCCGTAGGAAGTGCATCAACAACATGAATCTGCATCCGGGCGAACTCCTGGATAAGACGGTTCTGCTGAGTAACAACATAAGTCAAGTCACCCTTCACCTTACGGCTCAGGGCATCAACAACGACATTCGCCTTCCCCGGATGATATTGGATAATGCAAT